GATGGCCATTCTCGCACCTCACGCAATGGAAGGGTCGACTATGCGAGGATGGACTGCAGCCTGCCTGCCAGATTCGCTCGTAGACGGCATCCCCTAGCAACGCATCCAAGTCTACAAAGCTTCTATCACGTGTCCCGGCGTGGCCTGGATTCAGGGTCTCCAGCAGGGCGAGTTCGCGCCGATGGACCTGCCATTCAGAACGCTCGCAAGTCGCTAACGACTACGACCGAGCCTCGCGGGTAACGTCCATGTCCCACCAATCGGGGTACCTAGGGTCGCAGCAAAACGATAAGGAAGCAAACGACCACATGCCCAAACCGAGGAAGGAACTCGAATTCGGGATCGTGGACGACCGTAGGCACCGTTGGCAGGGCCATAATTGGTCCTTCAGGCGATCCGATCGGACTAATGCGAGAAGAGCCCTCAACACCGAAATTCCGTAATCCTAAACACCTAAACCCCGAAATTCCGCAAATCCTAAACCCCTAAACCCTAAAGCCCCCAAGAACTTCCCTAAACCCCAAACCAAGCCAAGAAGCATCATCCTCAGGAATTCAAGGCCCCAGCACCAGCGCTCCTGAACCCAGAACCCCAGGTTTAGATCTACTTCGTAGATCCTCCCAGCCCAGTATCTGGCACTTTCCCGGGTGGAAGCCGGTTCCCGTTTAGGGCTCCTTCAGGGGTTTTTATAAGGATTTCCGTAAGGGTTTCTATAAGGGTACTGTAAGGGTTTTCATTACATGGGTAGCTCTCCTTTTCAGGTCCGCAAGATAGTACGGCACCCATGTTGAAAAGGACCCGAAAAGGGATCCTATTTTAGAAAACCACCCAGATAGATAGCTAGCTAGATGGTCAGACAGTCAGCTAGATAGAAAGGTAGGTAAATAGATAGCTAAAAAGGTAGATCAAAATCAATAAATAAACAAACAAATAAATAAACAAATAACTATATATATATATACACACATTTGTGTTTGCATATATATCGATAGATAGACAGCTAACAAGATAATCGGGTAGATAGGTAGATAGATAGATAGATAAATAGATAGATCGATGGATAGATAGATAGATAGATAGATCGAGATATAGATCTGCAGGTAGATAGGCAGGTAGATAGATGGATGACAGAAAGACAATGGATAGATACTACTTTATGAGTTTGAATAGTGTAGCCTTTCGCCCTAAACCCTAAACCCTAGGGCCCTAGCGCTTCAGGAGAAGTGACCTACTCATACGAGAGCTCCGAGGGGAGGGTGAGGAGTGAATGCTAAGGTCGTCCAATATCCCCGGAACAAAGGAGTAGACTATAAACTATTGTTGATGATAGAAATCCTTAGCATTACCTTAAGGACCCTATATACTATGGGAATTGTGGTATATTCCTCATAATGGGTAATGCAGGATTTATACCATCAACCGTATAGTAGGATCACCTATATGATTTCTTTTATTTTAACTAAGGGATAATGGAAGATCTGGATAGGGTTTCGGGGTTTGTTTGTTTGTTTGTTTATTTGAGTTCTTGGATTTGGGGGTTGAAATTTTCAGGACTCGGAAGGTGTGCTGGCCGGGGACTATAGTGACACATGAGGCAAATTAAGGGTATAGGGTGTAGGTTTAGGGTTTAGGGTTTTAGGGTGTTCTCCAGCGCCCCTCCTTGCCAGAGGTGCGGATGGCCTTGTTGCAAAGCTTCATTCCTTTTTCACGGATGGGATAGTATCAAACATCTACACTTTTATTCCTTATCCAGTTTCAGTACCCATAAACATCCCTAAAGCCTAAACCCTAAAACCCTAAACCCTAAACCCGAAAAATGCAAAATGCTACCCAGCTCTGACAAAGGGTTCGCGCGTTCTCGGACATCTCCTGGCTCTGCAGTGCAGACTGCCATTGCCAGCCGCCGGAGGCACACATGGGTAACTCCGGGCTTCGGAAGCACTAAATTGAAAACACACAGAAACCCTCCATGAAGCCAAAACCTGTCAGCTATACCAGGGTTCAGGGTTTAGGGTTTAGGGTTTAGAATTTAGGGATACCTAGATGCCTTCTAACATGAAGTTTCGAGCCATGCAAAGCGTGACGAACACTTCTCAGTCGCACTGGTAAATCTTGAGGCACATAAACATAAGTTAATCGAGGGTCCTCAATAGTTAGAATAGGGTTTGAAGTATAATTACCAATAACTGGGATCTAAGAATTGAAGGGTGCCAAACATTAGCTATCCTATTCAACCCTATCCTGTGCCTACTGATTCTGGCTCAGACCTCTACACACAGGGCCGGGGGTAACGGGGTTTGGTACTTCAGAACCTCAGCACAGATCTGAACCCAAGCGCCAAACTCGGAAAACACAAAATTGGCCCATGATTAAGAAAGTAGATCCACAAGTTTGGCAACCTCTTCCAAAGGCTGGATTGGAGGAAGTCCCTTAAGGGATTGGGAGCGGATTAGGGGGACCCTTAAAAATATAGACCCTCTCAATAAGGTCCCCTTTTAAGAGAGCCACAAGTACGGTTCAGAAGGGTCCCCTTTAGGGGGTCTCCCTGATACTACCTAGGACTCGCCGGTGTGGAGGTGTAACTTGCTGACGAAACCTCTAGAAGACCTGAACCCCTATCCGCTCTAAACCAGAACAAGCACGGTTATTGTTCCCCTACAGCTCAAAATAGCCCTAAGCCTTACATAGTATGGTCTTTGGGCCCAAGGGCCTTAAAATATGAGTCCTTAGAGCCTTAGGGTTTGCTTTGAGGTGGAATCCGTGGCTAGGACGTCGACGCAGAACTTCGAGTTCAGGCTTCACAGCTGCAGGCTGTTGGGTTGAAGTAGAGTCGATGTGGCTAGGGTTGAGGTCGAGTGTATGGCTTCGAAACTTTCTATGGATCCGGATCTAAAGTGTAGGACTTTTCCACGCTGAGGTACACACCCTTACTCCACTTTTGAAGGCAGTTTTGGTATTGGCCAATTGTTTCTTTGTTTGTTTGTTTCATCGCGGCATTAATTAATTACTATGCCCTGATTCAGGCCCCACCTGGACGCCAAAGAACCTACCTTTTTAGGGCTCCTTATTACAATTATTCTATATATAAATCCTTAAAAAGGTAGGATGTTTGGGGTTAAAGCAATTACGTATTGTGTCCTGTGATTTTCAACTCCGTCATGGCGGGCATCTCGTTCAGCAGCTGCACTGCTAAGTTACTCTTCCCTCCGTCTGCACAAGCGAGAACAGCCAACTCGTAGACGACAGTGTCGGCAGCTATGCTGTCCTGAAATTTGTAGGGACTTTGCCGCATGAACAGCATGTATGCGCATATAATATAACATGCTACGTAATATACAGCTAAGATAAGGAACCCCAAGGAATAGTATCAATACTGATTCCGACCGCTATATCAAGGTATTCCTGACAAGACGAGATTTGAAAACTTCTTATTTAGTTAGCTATTGGTCTTCCAGCTCGTCATGCGAGGAATTTTGGGCTGGTTTTGAGTGCAGTCTGGGGCTTTAGGGTTTAGTGTTTAGGGTTCAGGGGCATGCTGGAAGCAGAAAACAGCCACCTGGAGCATGTCGAAGAACAACCGCAGCGCCAGAGGCCACTGCGACTTCTGCACGGAAGCGCTCATTCCAGCAGCGATACTGACAGCGCTAACTCTCAGTCGTGTGAACCTTGGGTTAACCCTAAGCGTCCAAAGGACCTAATGATCATGTACTTGGGCTACGGATAGTAGTTTTGTAGGTTAGTATTCAGAAGAGTATATGATTATGAAGTACTTGGACCCTTAGGGTAAGGGTTTAGGCTTACGGTGTACGGTCTAGGGTTCTGTGGCATTTGGGGCTTTCTTAGAAGGCCTAAACTTTCAGCTGCCTTGATACGAAAAACTTAATGCTTAATCCCTTCCCTTAAACCCTAACTATAGTACCCATAGTCTGCATTGTAGTTCCATCGTAGTTCCATTCTGCGGTTACCTTATAGGATTCTTATCATAAAACTGGTTAAACCCTCAACCCTAAACCCTAGAGCCAAAAACAAGAACTAGAAGGGAGACTTTTAGGTAGACCTTGGGCTGTACCTAAAACACCAAAACCGACAGCAACGAATCCCCCTAAGCCCTAAACCCCTACACCCCAATAAACCCTAAACCCTTACACACTAAACCCTAAAAGCCCTAAAGACCCTAAAAACCCTAAAGACACTAAGATCCTAAAGACCCTAAACTCCAAACCCGCCAGGGCCCGAATCACCGAAATGAAGTCCAGCCGAGGAACGACATTTCCGAGAGGAGATGCAAGGCGTTTTGCCACGCTCCGCCTTTCTCACAGGCCTTACGGTTGATGATATAAATCCTGCATTACCCATAATAAGGATTATACCATAATTCCCGTAGTTTAGGGCCCTACGGCTTTATATATCTTGGTGTAAGCGCGGTGAAACTACACAGAAACTGTTGTAATGCACTGCATTTCGACTCTAAAGGATGATGGTCAGCAAGATGCGACTCATCCTAAACCACCTCAGAAACCTTAAACCTCATCGGTATCGTCAGCATCAGCAGCACCGGACTTTGTGTCGCGGTCCTCGTCCTCCGCCTCCTCCTCCTCCTCCTCGCCCTCCTCCTGATAATCCTCGAATTAATTCTCCCACCCTCCTACGAACAACATGGCCATGACTATCATCATCACAATCATCATGATGGCGGATGCTTCTTCCATCAAAAGTGCTACCATGGCCATCATAACCATCATCATCATACGAACTTTCAACACCCTGGTCTTCAAGACTCTTGTTTCCATTCAGCCCAGCGCTTTCCTGTGGTTGAGACTGCAAAGTTTTGATACTAGCAGAACTAAACTAAAAGAAAACAGCAGAGACCGTCTGCCCCATTCTAGTCTGGATCTAGAGGCGCTGACACCGGCGTTAAAGCTGATAGATGTCCTCTCTACGCCCAACATCGACATCTCTGAGAGCAAACACAAGGCCAGCTGCCACTTTCCGTGCTTTTCCAGCGCACTGAGGACAGAATTAAATGTGATTGCGTTGGCCCTGACTGTGGCAAGTGGGAGGTCACGAAGAAGTTGGAATGCCATCTGCCACTGTGAGCCCTTCTCGCAGGCACTCGCAACAGCACTGCAGCAAACCACATCGGCTTTCTCTCTGCTTTTGAGAAGTCGTGACACCAGCTGCACTGCTGCCTGCCATTCACCGCCACTTTCACAAGCACTGATCGCAGCACTGAATGTGAAAACATCCGGGCATATCCTGGCGCCCTCCATCGTGGCCACAAGCTGCAAAGCAAACTCCCACAGACCGCCTTTCCTTATTTCGCTTGACAAGTCGTAAGAATGGTCGTGGGTCCCCAGAACCATTCAGAGCTTACTACGTAGTATTTGGCACCTAAAACCCTGTACTTGGGTACTTGGACCCTCTACTCTAAACCCGGTAAACCCTCAACCCTCAACCCTAAACCCTCAACCCTAAACCCTAAACCCTCAACCCTAAACCATCTACCCTGTACCCTAAACCCTCTACCCTAAACTCTGAACCCTAAACCCGGTAAACCCTCAACCCTAAACCGGAAACAGGAACCCAGGCACTGACAGGCGCTGATGCAGGAAGTGAAGGTGATGACGTCTGGCAGCACCTAGGTTCCCCAGCCGCCCCCCCCCTTTTAAGAAATAAGGGAATCTGTAAGGTTTAGGGTTTTTAGTGTTTTTAGGGTTTTAGGGCTTTAGGGTTTTTAGGGTTTTTCGGGTTTTCCGGGTTTTCGGGTTTGGGGTTTTTAGGGCTCCTTTAGAGGGATCAGGGATCTATAAGGGTTCCTTTATAAATTACAGAGATCTATAGGAGTTCTATGGCGGTTCCTTTAACGGGATCTATGTACAACGCCCCTGAATAACAAGGGCACCCTTTGTCCTGGTATGAGGGTTCTATAAGGGTTCCTTTAACGCCTAGATTCCCCAGTGGCCCCGAGCTCAATAATAACAAGGGTACCCTTTTTCCTGGCATCCGGTCCACAAAAAGGAGCCAACGGGTACTACGGGGGAAGCTAGGCGCGGCTGCGGACGGCATGCCGGCCAACAGCGCCAAGGCCACTTGCCAACTGCCGTCTTTCTCACCTTGGTTTCCCAGTAGCCCCTTAGAAGTAAGGGTGCCCTTTTTCCTACTCTTTGGTTTGAGTAAGGGAGCCCAAAAAGAGAAAGGGCAAAAGGGTCCTACTCGGAAACCTAAACCCTAAAGCCTAAACCCTAAACCCTAAACCCCTAAACCCCTAAGCCCTAAACCCCTAAGCCCTAAACCTACTCGGAAACCTAGTCACAGACACTGATCGTCGAGTTGTAGCTGACAGCGCTCGCTGCAAGCCGACCAGTAGAAAGCTTGGAGAACCTGGGTTCTCCAGTAGCCTCCTTTTGGGGCTTAGGGGTTAGGGTTTTTTAGGGTTTAGGGTTTAAGGTTTAGGGCTTAGGGTTTTTGAGGGTTCAGGGTTTAGGGTTTAAGGTTTAGGGTTTAGGGTTTAGGGTTTAGGGCTACTAGTAAGGGAGCCCCAAAAAGACAAGGGCATAAAAAGGGTCGTACTGGGGAACCTAGAAACACATGCAGAGCCATCTTCCATCTGCTCCCTGGTTCTTCATGTCGCTGTAGGGCTGAAACCACTGAATTAAAGCCTGAGCTCTGCAGTAACCAAGGAGTCAACCTTCAAAACTTGGCGGTGTTTTTGCACCAGCCTTTCTATCAAAAAGTCTATGTGTGTATACCTTATATATATGTATATATACATATATACATATATATATATAGTGTACACACATATATATGTAAAAACAGATGTATACACACAGATATATGTATATGTAGGTATGTATATATATATATATAAGTAAGTACACACACATACTTCATGTAACATGCAAACGAAGGTGTTGTACTCCAGCACCCAGACACTGATCGTGGACGCGGAGACCGCCGCCTCCTGCATCCTGGAAAGCAGGGAGGCGGAGCATCTCCAGCTGTCTTTCTCGCAGGCACTGATGCCCGCATTGAAACCTCACTAACCGAAGCCGGTTTAGGGCTGAGCTTACTGAGAAAGAGCTTAGAGGTAAAACCGATCTGAGCCCTACTAATCCGTAACAGCTTGAGAAGCTCAAAAGATGGGTCTTGAAGAGCGGAGAAGCTGATTGTGCTGAACTCGACTTTTGAGCTCGGCATGCCTGAAAGAAGCTGAAGTGCCATCCCCCACCCACCAGCTTCCTCAAGGGTGCCAATTCCAGCAGTGTAGCTGAAAACTGTTGGCCGGACTTCCGACGGATGCATCTGGAAGAAGAGATTGAGCCCCGTCTGCCACCGGTCGCCTCTGCAACAGGCCGTGATGCAAGTGTTGAAGCAGACAGCGTTAGGCACCACCTTAGTCTCAAAACTCCGGGAAGGACACAGCAATCCCTAACGCTCCAAAGGAAAATGAAGGATAGGTGTTCAGCGCTGCGACTTGCAATTCACAAGACTGTAGTGACTGAGGTGTTGAAGCTGAAGTGTGCAGTTCTTCCAAGACGTGAACCGTGAAGCCTCCATCTAAATCTCTAAGATCACACAACTGGATCCCTATACTGTTGATGAATACAAAACCTGCATTACCTTAAGGACCCTAAACTATGGGGAATTATGGCTTATTCCCTATTATGAGTAATGCAGGATTTACATCATCAGCCATATGACTATGCATGGCCACATGCAAGTTAACAAGCCTTGTGTAATACTAGAGCATGCAAGCCAAACAATGCACACGAAGAGTGAGCTGCATCTTTCAGTTGGGCACCCATGCTTGGCACATGCCAAGAGGGGCCGTGTACCCAAAGAGTATGTAGGTTGGCCCCAAAGTACCAATACAGGGACTACTTCAAGGCCAATTATACAGTATACCATTTGAGTACATCGACCCTGAGGGATAGGCGGTTTCATCGGGTTTGGGAATGCAGGGATCGTTTCAGCGGGGTCGAGGGCTCAATGCTTAAGCGCCGTTAGACCCATAGTAGAACACGTTTAGGAACAATGTTCTGGAGTTTTTTATTCTCTAGTAGAATTGCGGTTCTGAGAGTACATGAGGCTTCACGGCGCAGGCAGCCGAAACACATCTGCAGAAGACATCGCCGCAAACAGCTGTACAGCCTTCGCCCAAGATCCGGCCCGCTCACCTGGTCTCTTTGCTTGCATCTTGCGGAAGATTACACTTGCGGATTTGGCATTGGCTTCGGGCAGCGTGCCACCGCACCTACTGGCTTCCGAGCTTCAACCACCATGGCGACTAAAGGCTTTGAGCTATGGGTGAAGTCGCCATGCGCATGCAATGCCGAGCCGCAGCAACTGCCACCGCTGCCATAGCTGACAACATCAGGTCGAACACTGCGAGCCGGCATCGCAGACAGCAGATGGAGCCCTTTCTCCCAGGATCGAAGTTTTCCCGCGGCGCCAATCTCCTGGTGTAGGGTACCCTGGCCAAAACGGAAGCAAACCGTGAACTTACCAAATAAAGGGGGCCTTCATAAGTTCAATAGGGTTTTGGGGCATCTTATAAAATAGGGGTCTTTTCTACCATAGCTATAATACGTAGTCTTCACCCCCCCCCCAAAAAAAAAATTATGTATATCTATATATATATATATTGAATGAATATATATATATATATATATGTTGATATTGAGTGACAACTCATTTCAACCCCGACACCACTCACCTACCAAGATCCCCGGTCTCCTTGTTGATGTCCCGCGTGCGCACAGGCAGGTCCATGGCAGCGGGTTGCAGTGCATGGTCGGTTGTTGGCTTCCCTCCCTAGGGTTTAGGGTTTAGGGTTCTTATAGGGGTTTATAGGGGTTTATAGGGGTTTATAGGGGTTTATAGGGGTTTAGGGCCCTAAGGGTCCAAGTACTCAATATTTAAGGACCTTGGGGCCTTTATGGGTACCCCAAACCATAAATAAGGACTACTTGCACCCTTAGGGTTTCCTTTCCCCAAATACCCCAAGCAAAGAAGGGCTTTTTAACTTTAACCCTAAACCCTAGCCAGAAGGTCCGACAACGTCTCAAACAAAGCAAGTCATGAATTCCTTACCTGTCCGAGGTAACACAGGGTTGATGTTTGAGACTGGCATCCAATCATCAACAACTCCCGAGAAAAGGAGTAAAACTTGAAGCTCCATGGGCGACAGGCCTAAGCCCTAAACTTTTGAACCCTAAACCCAAATCCCTAAACCCAAATCCCTAATCCCTAAACCTAAACCTTGAACCCTAAACCCTGAACCCTAAACCCTGAGCCCTAAACCCTGAACCCTGAACCCTAAACCCTGAACCCGAAGCCCTAATCTCCAAACCCGAAAGCCTAAGCCCGAAAGCCGGTGGACCCAAAGCTTGGAGAGTTCGCATCCAGGCTTTGGGCTTTGGGGTTTTAGATTTAGGGCTTAGGGGGTTTAGGGCTTAGGGGGTTTAGGGTTTAGGGGTTTAGGGTTTAGGGTTTAGGGTAGGGGGTTTAGGGTTTAGGGTTCAGGGTTTAGGTTTAGTGCTTAGGGAGTAGGGTTTAGGTTTAGTGCTTAGGGAGTAGGGTTTAGGGTGTAGAGTTTAGGGATTTGGGTTTAGGGCTTAGGGATTTGGGTTTAGGGTGTAGGGTTTGCGGGGATAAGGATCGATGCTTTGAGTTTAGTATAGGGTATAGGGCTTAGCGATGGTAGAAGGCCACCGCCAGCACGCATTATAACAGTGGTGCTCAACATATCAACCTGGGCACAAATGTCTCCCGCAATCCACAAAAACACTCAAGCGTGGAAGCTCAAAGCGCATACACGGACTGAGCAACCACCTTCCACCGTAGCCTGAATTCCCACTTTCAACAGGATAGCTCTCTAAATTCGCCTCGGCCCCGGCCGAGGCGGTCAGAAGTTCCTATTGGGATTCCCTCTATTCCCCCTTGCCCCCACCCTTCAAAGTGGTTTCCTGGAAAGGGGTGGGGTTCGTCTGTGTGAACCCATAAACGAGGTTCAAGGTATTTGAAAGGATCTGAGCTATGTGGGGAAGCCCACCCACCGCCCCGCCCCACCCCCCCCCCCCAGCGCCCTTCTCCGGCCCCGGCCCCCGTCCTGCTGTCCACTTTAATTGCTTGTTTGCCTCGTCTCCTTCCTCCGCCGTCCAGTTTTTCCTCGCCCCCCTTCTCTTTTATTTTTGTCTCTCATCCCATCCCTTCAGTCTTTCCCGACGCGAAGCGTTTAAAATTAGGGTGCCTTGTTCGGCCTCCTTTAAAAGGACACTTAAATGGATTCTAATTTAGAGAACTACCCCATGTAGAACCCTTATTTCGCACCCTTGTGGAAACCCTGACAGAGATCCTTATACGCCCACTTAAAAAAGAGCCCTAAAATGGGACCCCAAATTTAGAGAACTACCTGTAACAGGCACTTTGGTGGTCCGGATAGGACTTGAACTGTATTTCACGTATCGCTGGGCAAGCCAGTAGTGATTGGAGTTCTGAGTATCCTGATTCGGGACTACTGCTGTTAGACACTCCCGAAACCTTAACTGCTGTTGGACCCCAAAAGCCCTAAACCCTAAACCACCTAAACGCCAAACCCTAAACTCCTCAACCGCATCTTTTCTTCGGCTTAGAAAATCCTTTAACTCTGAGAAAGGGGTGCCCTTCAAAAGGACCTAGGTTTGGGGTTTAGGGCTTACTGTACGGTTTATGGTAAGAAAATGCATCTTACAAGGATGCCGGCTTCAGTAGAAGGGGATCCGTATTATGCAAGATCCAAAAACTCAAGAATTGCTTCAGTGCTTTTGTTAGGGGACCTATATGAAAGACCCCTATCCTAAGCTTTGCTTATGTGCTTTTTGCAGGGCCCAGCTACTAAACCTGAGCCCTAAACCCTTTACCGTGTACCCTTTACCCTAAACCCTGAACCCTCAACCCTTTACCCTAAACCCTTTATCCTTTACCCCTTGCCCTTTACCCTAAACCCTAAGCCGTTTCACCGTCTTCTTCCAGCAGCCAAGGTCTCAGCAGGTCTCTGACATCCACGGCCTCTGCCAGTTGAAGCAAGTGCTCGGCGGCCACGGAATGTCCACCTTGCCTGGGGCCAAAAGAATCAGCGGATTCTTCTTAGGGCCAAACAAGGGCCTACCTAGGGGTTTAGGGTTTAGATGAGGGTCTTCATAAGAAGAATGGGGCATGCCAGGGCTTTGTATCTAAGAGTACATAAACAAGTGTAGCCGTAAGATAGGGACGATGAAGCGCAAAGCTACAAATTAGGGATTAGGGAAGGGTGTATTGGCTTTAGGGTGCACCTTGCATGTTTGAGGATTTGCCTTTGCAGTTAAGGGTTGAGGGTTTAGGGTTGAAGGGTTATTTAACTAAGGGTTTAGGGTTTAGGGTGTCTGCAAGACGGAGCAATGACATTGCAGGGTTTGGTCTACAGGTAAGCAGGAGTATGCCCCTATAGCACCGAATATAGTTTTTCCGCAATTAAAAGAACCTGCAGCCCCATGCTAACTATTGAGAAACGGCCCCATCGTATATCGGGCTTTTGGGGGAGGGGGACTGAGGAGCTGCAATGAGACTAGCAGGAGGCAGTGTAGCAAATGGGAGATCCCGGGGTGGGGGTTAGAGTGTAGGGTTTAGGGTTCTTTTGGGTTGGGGTTTAGGGTTTAGGGCTTCGTGGCTTTAGGGTTTAGGGTTGAGGGTTTATGGTGAAGGGTTTAGGGTTTAGAAGCCTGAACCCGGATTCTTTGAGGGCCTCAGTATAGACTATAGGGTCAGGCTAAGATCATGGTTCTCCGCTATAGCTGTTCTATAACAAGTCCTGACATTCTAGTCTATCCACTGCGGGCCTCAAGCCCAAAAGCCCTAAACCCCGAAACCCTGGACCCTATTCTGTCCACCCTAATGGGGGTTTCCGAAAATAAGGGGCCCTAATATAGTACCCTAAATAGTAGGATCCTTATTATAACAACCCGAAAATAAGGCACCCCCCTATTTTCGGAAGCTCCCAAATAGCCTAAGCCCCGAACCCTAAATCCGAGCTAAGCCCGGAGAGCCCAATACCCCTTGTTTCAGAAATACATCTTAAATCATACGATTAAGCCCCCTACAATTTAAGGGTCTACTCCTTGAGTAAGGGGTATTGGGCCCTCTTAGAGGACCCTGAACCCTAAACCCTAGACCCTAAACCCAAAACCCTAAACTCTAGACCCTGAACCCCAAACCTTAAACTCTGAACACTAGACCCTAAACCCTAAAACTCTAAAACTCTAAACTCTAGACCCTAAACCCTAAACCCTAAAACTCGAAACTCTAGACCCCAAGCCCTAAACCCTAAACCCCCTTCGGTGCAAGGATCCCCCAACAAGGAAGCTCTATGAGCCGAACCCTAAGCTCCCTGTTAAGGGAGGTTAGGGGTAAGGGGTTAGGGGTTTAGGGTTTGTGGGCTTAGGGCTTTGTGGGTTTAGGGTTTGAGGGTTGAGGGTTTACGGTATATGGTCTTAGGGTATTGGAGGGGTTCAGGGTATAGGGGTTTAAACGGGTTTAGGGTTTAGGGCTTTAGGGGTTTAGGGTTTGAGGGTTTAGGGCTTCAGGGTTTGTGGGTTTAGGGGTTAGGGTTTAGGGCTTTAGGGTTTAGAGTATAGTATAGGGTTTGTGGGTTTAGGGTTTGGCTTTCGGGGTTTAGGGCTGGGGTTTGGGGCATTTTCACCGAGCTGCTCGCTAATGGCGAAGGCCAACGACAGGATCATCACCTTATGGATACTGTTGATGATATAAATCCTGTATTACCTTAAGGACCCTAAACTACGGGAAATTACTGGGTTTATGTCATATTCCTTATCATGATGGTTCATGCAGGATTTAGATCATCAACCGTAGTTTTCTAAAATAGGGTCCCTTTGCAGGTCCTTTTTATCAGGGTGCTGTACTATATTGGGGACCTAAAAGGGGCCATAATTTAGAGAACTGTCCTTATGGGGCTTGAAGGGTTGAGGGTTTAGGGGTAGGGTTGAGGGTTTAGGGTTTAGGGTTTAAGGGTTTAAGGGCTGAGGGTTTAGGGTTAGGGGTGCAGGGTTAAGGGTTGAGGGTTTAGGGGGGCTTTGCATGGTGCTGCATAGTCCAAAAGGGCCTAATCATTAGCTTGTTTTGTTTTAGGGCTTTTGCAAGGTCTTCATGGGCTCTCGAAGCGTCGCATTCGTTGTTAAAGTGTGGCTTCGTTTTGTTCGTACCGGTTCCAGCGCAGGAAGTCAGATGTAAGTTGCCATGATGAGGAACACATGCTGGTTACCTTACACACGTATTCATGTAAACTGTTCCATAACGGGAACCCTGAACCTAGATAATAGCAAGAACATACAAAACACTCTTAAGACCGACCTTCTCACTGTGAAACTCATCACACAAGCCCTGCGGAACCCTTTAAACAAAAAGAACCAACAAGCCGAATCCACAAAAAACCCAAACCAAACCCCCCAAACCCTAAACCCCAAGCCCTAGACTCCTGAACCCCTGGACCCGACACAAAAAGCCCTAAAGGAAGTCCTGAACGAAACCCTTCAACAACGAAAGCGTGCAAGGAACCCTGAACCCCAAACCCGAAACCCTAAACCCCGAAGGCCCCAAACAAGAACCCGTCAATAGAGCCCTTATGGTCCTTCATAGTGGGAATTTAGTGTATGTTCGAGGGTAGTTGGGGGGTCTAGGTAAACCCCCTAACCCCCTAAACCCCCTGAACCCTAAACCCTCATCCTGAACGCCAAACAAGAACCCAGTCACTTCTGCATCTGCCACGCCTTTCTTCCCCTTAGGCGTTGCCTGGGCCAAGAGGTCCAATGCCAGCTGCCATTGCGTACCTGCTCCACAGGAGTGAGGCTTCTGACTTCTGGGGTTTGGGGGTTTTCTATGGCTTAGAGTTTAGGGTTTTGGGTTCGAAGATTCGGGTGTCTTTCAGATCGCCTACACCCTTACTGATATCTTTATACCTATCTTGCAAGTTCTAGAACGATCTACAGACCCTGCATACCCAAAGGATATCACGCCTCAAATCCCGCCTTTTCCAACACTGCCCCAAGCCCTCGAGTGCACTTCCGATTTGGGCTAATTATTTGTTTCCAGATGCTTTTGTTGAGAACAGAAAGCAATCTACAAACAAACCACGAGTGATGGTGTTAATCATAGTGTATCCGCAGTTTGGACGCCTGAAGCCTGGATAACATCAGGGCTAGTTTCTTTTTCTACGGGGCGGTCTTTCAATGAAAAACCCAGAGGAACTAACAATATCACAAAGTCTTCAGCCCCTCATGTACTAAACCTTTTCACGGCCCTAGACAAAAGCCTAGACCCTGCTTAAAACCTTAAACCCCAAACCCTGAAGCCTAAACCCTAAACTCTAAATCCTAAACATTCCTAAACCCTACAACACTGAATCTCAACTCTTCGGCCAGCCTTGCTGCAACGCACGCACGGCCGCATTCCAGGTGATCTCATTTCGCTGCAGCTCAGCGCGAGACATCTTCTTTAGCAGCTCCAGTGCCCCCTTGCAGGGCTTTCTGGGCGCTTGGGGTTCAGGGTTTAGGGTTTAGTGTCCCTAAACCCTAAACCCCTAATCCCTAAAAATCCTGAACACCCCTGAAACCTAAACTCCAAATCCGACAGGGTTTAGGGTCCCTATAAAGCCTAAACCCTAAACCCTAAACTGTAGATTTAGGACGAGGATGCAGGGCTTACGGTTTAGGTCTATGTTTCTGGGTTGACGGGTGTGACTCTGAATCGTTGCGCACGGCACCACAAGCTGTCGTCGTCATCTTTGTGGACATGAAGGTGGGTTTAGATAGATAGATAAACAGATAGATAGATGGATGGGTAGATGACTATAGATAAAAACGTAGATAGATGATCAGACAGGAATGTGTATATATATATATATGTATATATGTATCTGTGGGTGTATACAATGACGACCACGCACACACAGATACATACAAATCTATTTATTGATAAATAAATAAACAAATATATATATATATGTATACAATGTGTACATGAATATATATGTGTGTGTGTGTATGTATGTATGCATGCATGCATGCATGCATGCATGTATGCATTCATGCATGTATGTATGTATGTATGTATGTATGTATGTATGTATGTATGTATGTAATTATATGTGTATATATATACACATGTAAATATGTGTGTGTACATGTATTTGTTATGCGTGTGTATGTATATATATATATAGAAAATAGAAAGAAATATAGATAGATAGTTAGATAGAGAAATAAATAGATAGATAACCAATGGATGGATAGAGACACAGAGAGACAGAGAGAGAGAGAGAGAGAGGGATATAGATAGATAGGCAGGTAGTAGGTACAGCCTAGCAGGCCAAAGCTGAGGTAACGAAAATTAAGAACCTCAGGCTAGTAGGATAGGCTAGTCTCGCCGAACGGGGTTCTTATACAGGGTTTTCACTGTAGATAGATGATAGCTACATAGATAGATCGATAGATAGGTAGATGAATAGCCTGTTATTTTAGTTAGATGGATAGCTACACACCTGACTGACTTAAAACCTCACTTTGTTCGCTGGCTCGCTTGTTTGTTTATTGTTGTTTCGTTTACGACCACCATGACGAAGATCGGGACGACGACGAAGACCAACACCAGCAAGACCATCACCACACATCAAATGCGAATCGAAAGAACCGTCACATAGCTGGGCAATGAAGGATTTGGGTAGATCACTGAAAAACGGTTTCGAGGTCTAGCTGCCGGAGAAGCATTTCGAAGGGAGTTTTGTGCGCTTGTAAAGGCAACATCATACCTAGTAAGTTTTGGTGCTGCATTCAACTTCTGTAGGGCCTGCGACTCAAACCCGAAACCCAACTTGCAAACTTCTTTCTTGTTGCGAAATACCACCCGAATTATTTTCACCCTAAACCCTAAGTTTAACCCCAAGCCCTAAACCCTAAACCCTAGTTATAACCCTAAACCCTAAACCCCAAGCCCTAATTTTAAGCAACACCTATGACACCTCCACGGAGCGAATTCACACAAGCCATTTCCAGACGATGCACACGATAGATGGGTAGTTCTCTAAATTAGGTCCCCTTTTAGGGTTCTTATGATTATAAGGGTTTAGGGTTTAGGGTTTAGGGTCTCTAAATTAGGTTCCCTTCTAGGGTCCTTATGATTATAAGGGTGCCGTACTTTATTGGGGACCTTTAAAAAAGGACCCGAATTTAGAGAACTACCCATTTCCAGACGATGAGCATGATAGATCCGGCCTGCCACATCCCTGCGCCCTCGCAGGCACTGATGGCCACATTGAAGCTGATCGAATCCGCCTTCCGCGAACCCAGAGGTTTCCAGGAACCCAAATTTACGGTTTAGAGATTTAGGGTGTTGGGTGGGTTTTAGGGTTTCGGTGACTTAAGGGTTTAGGGGTTTAGGGTTTTGGGGTTTTAGGGGCTTCGTGGTTTAGGGCTTAGTGGCTTAAGGGTGTAGGGGTTAGCGGTTTCGGGGTTTAGGGTTTAGCGGCTTAATTTAGGTTTAGGGGTTTAGGGGCTAGGGTTTTAGTGGTTTCGGTGTTTAGGGATTAGCGGCTGAAGGGTTTAGGGGTTTAGGGTATAGTGGCTTGAGGGTTTAGGAGCTTAGGGGTGAGGGTTTAGGGTTTCGGGGTTTAGGGTTTAACTAGAAAATAAGCGTGCTTCAATCATAAGGAACCGAAGGGGGGGTAGGGGGCTCAGCCTACCACCCCCCGCGATCGGGCCGTAAGCAAACTGGGGTTCAGGCTCATGGGCCCTTTAGCCTTGCAGGGAACCCCATTGTAAACGTCTATAGCACGTTACATTTTGGCGGGTTTAGGTTTAGGTTTAGGGTTTGGCTTGATGTAGACGCCCAAAAAAGAAACAGTGATATCTCTGGCAGCCACTGGACGCCGAAGTGAAACCTGAAAGATCTGAGCCCTGCGAATACAGACGCCAGAGAAACGAACAACACGTACTGCCCTTACGCAGTATACGAGCATAAAGATCTGCATCATTTCTTATACGGCCACTTCTCTTGTGGTCCCTCTGTAGCTGTACTAGATTAGAGCCCCTCTGTAGCTGTACTAGATTAGACCCCCGAAACATTCTATTCTCACCGCTAACCTTTGCACCTAAGCCTTAAGCCCTGAACCCTAAACTAAATCTGCAATCCCAAAAGCCCGAAAACTTTGCAGAACCCTTGATGGAGCCCTTCAAGCAACCCTCAGATCTTCCAAAATCGCCTAACTACGGAACACTCCCTGATTCATATTGATTAATAGGTATATTCCTTACTTATATAATATAAATCTGGTCTTCTACAGCCCCTAATTCAGTATGGATCCTGATAATACGTATATACTCCTTACTGAAATCTGGTGTTATCCCTAAACCCTAAACCCTAAACCGTTATACAGCCAGCCCAGCCTCGAGGTTCTTCTTGGGCAGATCCATGAGTAGTTCGAGGACCCTCTGCCAGAGCCCCGCTCGTTGAAGCGCTGACATCGCTGCCTGGCGAAAGCCAGGGTGGCAGGGCTTCGTGAGGTGGGCTCAGGGTTTGGGGTGCTTTAAGGGTTTAGGGATTAGGGTGCTTTAAGGGTTTAGGGATTAGGGTGCTTTAAGAGTTTAGGGTTTAGGGCTTATGTGTGGCTTCGGGTTTCAGAAAGGAGTGTCCTGAGGTGCAGGGTTTAGCGTTTAGGGCTTGGGGCTTGGGGTGTTATGAAACAATTTGAGTTTAGGTGTGCGTGATTCACATTTTTGCTTATTCGTTTGTTGTGGGTGTGAGGAGGTGGGGGTAAAAAACTAGGGCCGGGATGTTTGCGTCTTACCCTAAACCGCAAACCCCTAAACCCTAAACCCTAAACCCCAAACCCCTAAACCCCAAACCCCTAAACCCTGAACCCTCAACCCTATTCGGGTTTGGGAACCTATGGTCCAGAGCATGAAGGGGCTCCTACTCAAAGGGTCCTAGGTACGGTGATGGAGGGATACTACCCTAAATCATAGAAGTTTAGGGGTTTAGGGCTTCAGGTTTAGGGTTTCAGTTTGAGGGTTTAAGGTTTAGGGTTTAAGGTTTAGGGTTTAGGGTTTAAGGTTTAGGGTTTAAGGTTTAAGAGTAGTTCCTCATATCGAAACCCTACATTCCACCATATAGGTACATAGAACTCTTTTGGGCTAGGATGAAGATAACACCAGCTAGAGTGACTAGAACAAGTGCAATACCTGCAACTCCACTGATGACGCACAGGCCAGCCTCCCTGTCGTAGTCGAATAACATTGCTACACTTTCGCAAAAAAAAAAACTGGCATGGTTTGTGAACCAGTTGGAACACGGCTTTAGGACGATTCGCGCTAGGATCCCTTTATACTTTACCTTAAGGGCGTGAGGATGATCATGCTCCAACTTCATGGCTTCTACGGCTGATGATCTAAATCCTGCATTACCCATGATAAAGAACATACCATAATTCCTACAGTTTAGGGTCCTTAAGGTAGTGCAGGATTTCGATCATCAACAATAGTATAAGTCTCATGGTCATGAGCTTAAGGCTGCAGTCCGGTACACTCAACCGTAAACCTCAGACCCCGAAAGCGCAAAACACGCATACACCCGATAGCCAGAAACCGGCGAAAGGAAAACCCCAAACCCGAAAAATGCATTCCAAAGCCTACTCTAAACCCATCAACCCTGAAGCCACAAAGCCCTTAAAACCCAATAATCCCCCACATGAGCCCTATAAGCCGTACTTAAGGGACCCTTTAGGGTAAACTCTAAACCCTAAAACCCTAAACCCTAAAGCCCTAAACCCCTAAACCCCTAAGCCCTAAACCCTAAAAAAAGGTCACGCTGCGTTGAAGACGGCGGTGTTGGCAGAGGACCCCGGCCGTTGGAGCCTCTGGTATCGATGAGTCTTCTTGTAAAGGATCTAGCCTAGGGGTTGGGGCTTCGGGTGTAGGGTTTAGGGTTGAGGGCTTTGGGTTGAGGGCTTAGGGTTCAGGGTTTAGGATTTAGGGCTTAGGGTTTAGGGTATAGGGCTTAGGGTTTAGGGTTCAGGGCTTAGGGTCTAGGCTTTGGGGTTTAGGGTTTAGGGCTTAGGGCGTCGGGTTTAGGGTCTAATCTAGGGCTTAGGGTTTAGGGCTCTTGTGTGAAGGGTTCTACAAGGGCTTTTGGTAGGGTTTCCAAGGGTTTTTAGGGCCTGTAGTGTCTCATTCAAGTTCTACAAGAGATTCGCTGGCAGGGTTTTACCCTAAATGGGACTCCAATTTAGAGAACTACCCATGTAGCAATTAAGGAGACCTTAATTAGGGTCCCTGTTTAGGTCCCCAACATAGTACGGCACCCTCATAAAGAGGACCCTAAAAGGGACCCTAATTTAGGGAACTACCCTATTTTGTAATCAAGGAGGCCCCCGAGGTAGAAAGGGCAAAGAGGCACCACTGGGGAACCTAGCAACTCGACTCATCTGGGAGGTTATTAGGGCTTAGGGTTTAGGGGTTAGGGTTTGTTTTTGGTTTTAGGGTTTAGGGTTTAGGGGTTAGACAATAAGCAAACAAGAGTTGATCTTCGAAGATCCGGACCAAAGAAACAGTAAGCCAACACAAGAAAAGACCCTAAACACTAAACCCCAAACCCTACAACCAAGAGCCTTGAATTTCATGCACTAAATACACAGTCTTCCAATTATATAAGTAAGTTACAGGGCACCTGGAATTGGGTGCTCTTGGCCTAGGTATGGCTGCAGATTGGGGAGTTTAGGGCTTAAAGCTTGAAGAGTTGAGGATTTTAGGAGGATTTACGGCTTAGATGACAGGGTTTTAAGGTTCGGGGCTTTAGGATATAGGGTTTTAGGGCTAGGGGTTGGGATTTTGGGGTTGAAGGGTGAGGAGTTAAGGGTTTTAGAGTTGCGGGGGGAACCGAGAAGGCCTCTAACGCCATAGAAATGCGGCAAGAACAGATTTCCAGCTACCAACTTCAATCCAAAAGGATGTCTCGCACTTACCAAAGTTCCTGTCTAATCTTTTGATTCACAAGCAGCCCCAATCTCGATAATTTCCCAAGACCCCAAGCCTTAAACCCTTAACGCAAGAACTGGGCCAAGCAGCTCTTTGAGAGCAACTTCCCAGCGACCACCCGCGGCGCAAGCGCTGATGGCGGCGCTGCGGCTGAAGGCGTCCGGGGTGACTTCCGCAGAACACATCTCCTCTGGCTTTTTGGGGGCTCCTTAAAGGGATCTGTACGGATTTCTATAAGGTTTCTATAAGGGTACTACAAGGGATACTTGGAGGCGCAGGGGACTTAGTAAGTAGGTTATAAGCGGAGTTATATACGTACCCTAAATGAAGTTGGCCCAAGTATAACCCTACTGATAACCGACTTACCAATTCCCCTGGGCCTCTGAGTAGGGTTTGGGGCGTAAGGGCTTGAAGGCTGGAAGTCTGAAAGTTGATTCTTGGGGTTCAGGGTTAATGCACATAATAAGTATACGCTTTATAGCGTTTAGGGTTTAGGGATATAGGGCATCATCTGATTCTTTCTTGTTTTCGAGGGCTTGATTGGCTGCGTTGTAGGCTCCCAGTCTTAGGAGCGTGCCGACTGAGAAAGGAGCGCCACCATCCTACGCTAGGGTGGCGGGTTCATGAGAGTCATGAGAAGGTTTCCCCGAAATACGAGAAACTCCTACAGGTCTGTCTACCCCCCAGTCCGAACACCAATGAAATCACCAGACACTACCCTAATCCTCTAACCTGGTACTCGAAACCCCACCACTCACTGAAGAGATGCGTCCTGGAGCAGCATGAGCACTGGCTCCCACTGCCCAACGCGTGCTACGGAGCTCAGAACCTCGAGCATCACCGAAAAGTCTCTTAGAGCTTTAGAAGGTAGGGTTTAGGTGTTAGGAGGGTTTAGGGTTTAGGGCCGTTTAGGGCCTAGGCCTAATTAGGAGGGTTTCGGGTTTAGGAGGGTTTTGGCGTCAGGGTTTAAGGGCTTACGGGGAGTCTCGTCGAGCTTCAGCTTCAGAAGGGCTCTCGGAGATGTTTGTCTGTCTATATAATGAGCTATTTATGTACTTCTCCCATGTCTATACGCATGGCTATCCAAATCATACCAAGGTTTAGATTTCCGTGGTAAGCTATATATATTTATATATATCTACATATCTATAGATAGATAGATAGATAGATAGATAGACAGACATACATACATACATACATACAAACATATACAATAAACATTTTGCAATTGAAACCTAAACTCTGCGCTAAACCGCACGGGCTACGAAGGAGTTCGGTCCGAATGGACGCGACAGATTGTATACCCTAAACTTCCCGAGGCCCTGAACTTCCCTAAACCTTGTCACATCTTGAAGCCCGAAAGCCCTCCACCCTAAATCCCAAACTGGGTTGTAGTTGTGGCTTTAAGGTCTTAGGGCTTGGGGTTTAGGGTTCAGGGTTTAGGGTTTGTGCTTTTGGGCTATGAAAAGTATTTGTAACTAGGTACCTCTATCGGAACCATAAAGTAACAAGTTCCCAAAGTGCCACCTAGCAAAGCCCTGTCAGATTGTTAAGATTGCGGTGTTTGGGTTTTCCCTAAAGCAGGATCCTTGGAGAAGCAGAGATGCACCTGTCGAGAAAGAGAGAGGGAGAGAGCGAGCGCCCGGTAGACCTTAATCGACGGAAAATTGGCTTAAACGCAACAGGGCTTGAATCTTATTCAGACTTCAGGTATATTCAACCTTTAGCCCCAGGAATTAGTAGACCCTCAACACAGAAACCCGGAACCCCAAACCGCCCTAAACCACCAAACCCTATTGCTCTTGGCTCTGCAAACCCCTAGACCCCTAAACCCTATTGCTCTTGGCTCAAAATAGCCCAAAAGCCTTATATAGTAAGATATGAGACCTTAGAGCCTTAGGGTATGGCTCTTGGCTCAGCAACCCCTAAACCCTAAACCCTAAACCCCTGAACCCTAAACCCGATTGCTCTTGGCTCGGTAACGGCATTGAAGGCCAGGACATCGCGCAAAATTCTTTCGCAGTGCATCCGGGAGAAGAGCCTTGGCTGCTCAGGAACCCGCTGGAAGCAAGTATGTAAGGGCTTAGGGTTTAGGTTTGAGGGTAACGATTCAGGGTTTAGGGCTTTAGGGGTTTAGGGTTGGTTTAGGATTTAGGCTTTAGGGTTTACTCTCACGGAACATCAGTTAGCATATGCGTTTTGTTGGGA